TGCGTGTAGTGATTTTGTGTGTGTAGTTAGTAGCTAGTAGGGACAGTTTATACTTAAGCACCTACTAGCTAAGTATTTCTAATACTACTCTAATTACTTAGCTATTTACTTATTAGAGAGTTGTTAGGTCTGCTTGTGTGTCCTACTATATGCCTCTGTTTTATAGTAGGCAGAAGGACACTAGGTTGTATAGCAGGTCTAGGCAAATTGCTATATCTATAAGGGTGACCTTAGTTGTCCTAGCTCTACTCCTTAGGAGTAGATTAATTAATCTATATCCTCTAACTAGCACCTTAGAATTCCTAGCCTATATAAAGTCTCTAGGCAATAGCTGTTAGAACCTATAGACACAGTTAGGGTTATTAGTAATATAATAGGTAGAACCTAAGTTAAGTATAAACAACTTCTATAGTAGATAGTTAGTAGTGTCCTGTTAGTTTACTACGCTAAGTGCTACTTTAATATTAGTAATTTCTTAGCCTTCTAGTTAATTGTCTAGGATTTCTAGGGTAGGGGTATGTAAGTACTTTACTACTAGTGTTCTTAATTAGCTCTTACTTTATACGCAAAGTAGCCCTTAAAAGGTAACATCTTTCTTACACTTAAACTTAATAAGTTTAGAAATAATCTTATTTAGTTTCTACTACTTAGGAGCTCTGTCTTAATTAATATAGTAGTAATCCTGTAAAGAGTGGCGTTGTCTACATGCAGGGCATTTTGCTCCCCTAGTAGAAGTAGGCTCTTAATCTAAAGGCCGCTTAAGTGTAGTAGTTTTCCTACCTACTATATATTAATATTAAGGTCTGCCCTAGTAAGATAGCACGCTTACAGCATGTTAGGTGTCCCCTTTATAGCTCTAGGAGGCTGCACCCCCTTTAGCAAGAAACACTATATTATTAGCTACAAAGGCCTTGTGCTGCCCTAATCTAAGGGGATAATTTATTATTATATACTCTTAGTAGTGTTTTATTATCTCCTTCTAACTTATACTAGATTTAAAGTGTCTGCTATCTTGAAAGCTTGTAGCCTACATAGGTGCGACCCTATTTACAGCTGTTAGGAAGTCCTTTATTATTATATTTAATTATAATAATTTAGTAACTTTGTACATCTCTGCTTCTGTAGCTGCCTAGTTATACTTAGCTAGCTAGGTATCCTATTATAACGTGCTTCTTATTAGCTTAAGTGCTAAGAGGTATCTATCTTAGGCTTATTCTTATTTAATTTATTTGTTAACCCTAATAGTAAGTTATAGGTCTATAATCTACTGTTACAGTAGTTTCTTAGGAAGACAGCATGTGCGTAGTAGATGTAGCAATATAGTTAACTAGATAAACACAATAATATGCTAAAGGCTTGCTTCCTCCTTCTTATATTTATATTAATTATTCTTATATTGTTTAAGAAGTACTTTATAATACTTAAGGTCTTCCTTAAATGCCTTCTAGCCTGTTGTTAATAGCTTAGTTAGCCTTAATAGTATGTTAGTGTTTGCAGCTAGCGCGTAGTTAGTAATAGTTAGAGCCCTTAGCAAGAGTAGCTTTAATAGTAGTGGTGTAGTTGTCTTTAGGTTAATCTTGTCCTAGATGTTGCATAACAGGCATCTCGCCTGTAGCTACGCGAGCCAGCTAGTCCAGTCAGCTTGGTCCCTGAGGACTGTTGTTGGGTCGCGGTACGCTAGTTGCGCCATTTTAATTGCGGCAGTTCAGTTGCGGCAGTTTAGTTGCAGCAGTGAGACTGCAGTAGTTTAGTTGCGGCAGTGAGACTCTTAATTGTCAGATTCTTGTACTGTGAGCCAGAGTATGTGCTTAACAAGATCTTAGGTGGTATGATAATATATTGATAATTGTGGCGATGGTGTTTCTGCTGTGGCGTCGTGCTGGTTGCTACAGGATTGAAGTGGGGGGAAATTAGCGCTGTTCGCGGCCGCCGGTGTGCGGGCCAATCAGGAGTTGCCAGGTCTCGCTTAATCGACCTGGCAACTGCTGATTGGCTGCACGACAGGTCCCTGCTCGATTGCGCAGATCCGACCTCTCGCCGCTCGCTCTTATCTGACAATAGTATCCTAGATAAAGACACCTATAATTCTAATAGGTCTAGGTTTATAATAGGTATTATATTAATAGGAGCTGTTATTACAGGCTTAGAGTGTTATAGAAGACTAAAGATAGTATAGTAGGGTAACTAAGAGTAGACTAGCATTATCTAGGGTATTAACGCGTTAGGATAGAGTATCCTACCCTTTGTTATCTTCTAAGGCAAGCACTACCTCTCTACCTAGTATAAGGAGCTGTCTTTACCTTATAACTAGGTTATTACTATCTCTAAGAATAGCTAGACTAATAATAGGCTTAGTATTAAGTAGCTAAAGCACTTTAATAAGCACACAAAGAAGCGCACTATTAGCAGCTATTAGTAACTTATTCTAGACACCTATAAGAGCTATAATTTAGTTAAGTTCTACTAGTACTATAAAGAACACAAGATTATTACCTTGTGTATACCTCTGCACTTATCACACCTGTTGTAGCTACTTAACATAGGTTGTTTTACGCTAATAAAGAAGGCCTATAGTTACTAAGCTAAGCTGCTAATGTGTAACAAGATTACTTACATTATAAAACTTAAGTTTTTACTTTGCTTTAAAGGAGCTTTTAATGCCTCTATTACTAGGAGCAATATCTAGGGAGGATTTAGAGGTGCTGGCTTAGTCCCCTTTAACTAGAGGCTAGAATATTAAAGCTTAAAGTGTGCCTGTGTACTCTACTACTACCTACTATAGATAAGAGTATATAGCACTCTTAAACCCTATAGAACACCCTAGAATTTAGGTTAAAATTAAAGCTTATTTAAGAGAGGATTTAATAATAGTGTAATAGCCCTCTAACTTTAATAGTTAGTACTCTTAATTAGCTTACTAAGGGCGCAGAGATAATAGCGCATTTACTACATCAGGAAAAGTTTTTCAAAATCTAGCCTAGACTGGCTGTTGCTAACAGTTGTGGCATAGTTGTGTAATAGCTGTTTAACAGCCCTAACAGCCCTAATTTGCGCCTAACAGCCCTAATTTCGCGCTAATATTACTAACAGCTAAAACACTAAGTGCCTATATTTAATAAACTTAAAATAATATTACAATATTATTACATAGCTACCCTTAGTTCTGCTAGCACTAGTATTAAATATTTAAAAATTACAAAATTTTATGTATAGATAGAGCGAAATTGTAGCTTTAAAATAAGCAAAAAATTATTATTAAAGGCCTACTACAACGCAAGTTATAGAGTGTTAAAGGTTTGTTTATTAAAGGTTTGTGTTTTGAAGTTGCGACAGCACACCATGGCAGCTGCAGCTGCGCCAGCACACAATGTATCAGCTGCAGCTGCAACAGCACACGACGTAGCAGCTGCAACAGCACACAACAAAGCACTTGCTAACAAGCATACACTGCAGAATAGGCAGGCCTAGGCGTAGAATTCTTAGTTTACCTACTATTCTTAAATAATATTCTTATATTTTCTAATATTTAGGCTACTAGAGCCCTAGCAAAGAATCTTAACTTAGTGTCTTAGTAAGGAATATTAAGCTTAAAACCTTCTACACTTAATAACTATTCTATTAATAGGCCTATAATATTATTTAATAGCTTATTTTAAAGAGGAGTCTTAGTAGTATATTAATATAATAAAAGTATAGTTTATTAAGTAGAGCTACTATTTTAGTAGGATTAGGAGTTATTATAGCTATTATAGCTGTTAGGACTATTAGAGCTATTAGCTTAAAATTAGCTAGACATTAAATGCACATTAAATAACTATTGTAGGCCTACAAGTCCTACTGTTGCCTATAGTACAATGCAACGATTTCCTGATTTCGACAACAGAAAAACTTTTCCTGATGTAGTTGTTGCAGCCAAAATAGAGGCAAAATGTACATACATTTGCACCCCTGAATTGGCTGGTAAATAGGCATGATATCTGCTGCGACACTAGTTTTAGTGCGTAACTAGGTCGCAGAGCTTTAAGCTGCTAATGAGGTCGCTACACGCCATAAATTACACAAGAGGAAGCAGATCTAGAGGGAGGGGACTCTTACTGTTATTAAAGGAGTGCGCTTAACTACCCTAAAGGAGTTTAAAGCCTGTAGTAGTAGGAAGAAGGTAAGTAAGAAGAGGCGTATTAAACTTAGCACTTAGTCTTTACAGCACTATAGTAGGTGTAGTAAGGCAGGGTATAACGCGTGAATGTGTATAAAAGATGTGCAAGATACTGTAGATTAGTGCTGTATACTGTAAGTTACAGTAACTTGCAGTAACTTGCTATAATATGCAAGAGAAGTTGAAGTTTAGTGTGGTCTGGGCAAAATCCGGTCACCCGCCCGTGAGGTAAGTTACAACTTTTAGGCTTTTTTAAGCTAGAAAAGTACTAAATGCTTAATAATTCTTTGCTCGTGTACTCCAATGGTCGTAACAGTTGCGGTAAAGAGCTTGACAAAGGCTCCAGTTGCAGTTCGGTGTGAGCCTATCGGACATAGTTTGTGGTACTCCTCCGTACAAGGTAAGGATAGGTGATGGTTTCCACAGCGCTGGCAGCATAGAGTAGTACAAGGACGCCGCTTAGAAACGGCATGTAGGAAAAATTCGGGTGACACTAGTCTTTTAGTAGTTGTTTCGAAGGAATCAAAAGTTGGCGCAAGATCGGTCGCTTGGCTCGCTGAGTTGCGTGGCTTGGACCTCCAGTTGTGTGTGCGGTGCGCTCTCACAACCTTTGGATAACTATCAAGAATACTGCGAGTATCTAGCCTCCAAACGCCGGGGGGAGCATGAAACTAAAATTATATCGACAGACAACTTTCTTTTTAGATCCGGAAAACTTCGACTCAAGGTTTGGGTTTGTGAGAAGAGTTGTCGAGGAGTCATTTCGCGCCGTTTGGTCTGAGAAGCGCACGGTATATTTTTTGTGATATCTGCACATTTAGTTATTTTACAAGAAGCAAAGTTAGCTGCTTAAAAATTTGGTCATGGCTACCGGCTTATTGGGGACGCTGCGCCTCGGCATCATCATCAGATGCGCAGCAGCGCGGGGGTACGATTTCAGCCCCTGTTCGAGATTGGGTGCCTAGACTTGCCTCGAGACCAGAATTTAGTGTCTCACAATCCATATTGTATTTAATGATATCAATACAATCAGAACTGCTGTCTCGCAAAGGCTCAAAAATACTGATCCGGCATATTCATCGACTCCCAAAAGTTATAGGTGGAATTCTCGTCCAAGAGAGACTCAAGAATATCATCCGATACGACTGGCTGCAAAGCAAGGTCATCCTTTGCAACGCTTTCAGCACTATCTGGCGCTAATGTGCCTATTGTGGAAGGGTATTCCGACTGCGCAACGCCCCAGATCGACTCATTCAGTGGTCCCGGCACAAGCTGGCGGATTGCCTCACCAAAGACGCCGCAAAATATCGATGCTGATGTATAGGTCCTCTGAAGCTCTCGCATAAATGTCATGCACATCTCGAGTTTGTTAAACGCCAGTCGACGAGTCAAGTGATTTTCAGATTTACAGCCCAGTACATGGACGTGCATAGCTGGTACCAGCAGTATAGGTCTGTGATAAGTTAGTGAGCCTCTCGTCAAAATAGTCGAACCAGTCCGGCTTTGACAAGGCTATGAAAGACGCATGCACAGACTTACGTCATTGGAGTTGCAAAAATCACGAGTCCCTCGCGCGCGATATGATCAATGATGCTGTTCGTTTGTGTTGCGGCGCTCTCCATACGGCTCCGCACTCGACATGTCCATGACTTTGCAGTTTCCGTAGCTAGGCCTTCGGGTACAACGGACACGAATGATCGGTAGAAGGTTATCGATGTTGCCCTAGTATTGTGTTAGCGGATGCCGACAGTATCGACTCATTGATGAAACTGACTGCAAATGAAGCTGTGAATGATAGTAGCTGAATGAGGCGAGTGAACCTTGATCGGTGCCTTTAAGTTCAGGAATGGAGAACGAGTTCAGGTCGGTTTCAAGGGCTTCGAACTGTGATAGAAGCGGACGGTTCCCCAGCTGTTGATAGCATAGTAATAGGATTTCACCGAGGATCTTGCACAATTGGATCAGCAAGATCCAATGCTCGACCATCACCACAAGATCACCAGGCAGGTAGGCATGCAAGTCGCTTGGCAGCGCCTCCAAGTCAACCAGCACGTCATGTGAAACGGGGAGGGGCATGTCGCAGTCGCTGAGGCGGATCCGGAGTGGACGCCCGAGAGTCAAGCTGAGCCATCGATCGCGGAACATACAGCAGGCCCATAACCTTCGCCACAGATGACGGCGCTGTGGCGAAACCAGTGGATTGACCCTCGCGGCATCTGGGTCCCGATGGAGACCTATGATCTGGCACCAATTGATAGCGACACCTTGAAATTGCATATGAGCAGAGTTCAGAATCCACTACAGGCGCACTTACCGCTCCAATACCAGGGTTGAGAATGACTGTCCTTCTCCGAATGCCAGAAAGATAAGAGAAGTGCAGATTGAAGAAGTACCTCTTTGTTTGTCTCGTTAGTATTGTCGTACAGGCACTGTGTGTTTGATCAGTGGTAGCTCTGCAACTATATCTCAATGAATGTCTCATACCTTCGCACGATTATACATTGTGTCTTTCATATGTTTTCTGGACGAGTATTTTTCGGCTTTCCATACGTCGCTGGGTACAAACTACAGCGCAGCGATTAGTCTAAAGCTTCCGCAGAAGAAAGGGAGCCTACATTGACGGCTACTACGGCCATGCTCCAGTACAGCAACATACCATGCAGAGGTATTGCGTCAGGTGACTTCATCTCTTCTAGTTTTGAGAGATGCAATACTGGCAACATAGGATGCACATGCTGGAAGTAAGCTCGGAGAAGCTCCTGGTGCGAGAACATGAGCAGCGGGCTAAGTGCGCCTTTGTGCTTGAGATATTGGAGATCAGCTTGTGAGAGGGCACTTGGAGGATAGTGTCTTAGCATGACATGCCGCGGAAAATGCTCTTCGACATCGATCAAAGAAGTCATACTTGGCTGCTCCCCTGTCCCAATTGATCAGCTAGAAACTCATACGCCCAGCTTTGCGGGTGCTCACCAGTGTAGAAAGGGGTACCGGAGTTTGAGTCACCCTGTCCACGTGCTGCAAATGAAATTTCAGCTCCACTTTGCTCCTCTTCCAGATTTCTCTGACGCTCCGGATCTAGTCGCACAGGAGTTTTGCCAAGCTGAGCATTGCCCGGGTCACCATCTCCAGGTAGAGATGAGTGAGAGTTGCGTACTGGAGGATCATGCCGATCCGGATACAACGCTTGTGAGTCATTTCTGACAGGTGCATAGCTGGATTTATCAACAGTGGCCCCTATCAGCTCTGAGGAATGGACTTGTCTTTGAGATACCGGAATCGGACTTCTTAGCCTGCGCAGTGGCGGCGCCGGTGATCAGTACGGAGTGAAAGGCCCTTGGAATATGATATCGATCTTACAACTCATGGCTGACCTCTTGGATCGTGCAGGCTGTTCGATCTTGGGTACAATTTGAACAGGGTATGCCTGTGACAGTGACGCTGCACCGCACCTTGCGCCTCCTGCAATTCCGACAAGCAACCGCGGAGCGATGGCGACGTTGGGCCCGCATGTAATTGAACAGTCCAGCCAAAAAACCAAGGCGCTTTAGCGGCTATGTGCTAGCATTTACTTTCGTGCGATTCGTTGATGATAGAAGAATGGTGAGCGTGGCGCTTTGACATGCGGCGCCACCCGAGGTCGCTGGACGGAGCAACGTGGAACACTACCGTGTCCGTGCGCGTGATGCGCGGATTCGCGTGATGCGCCGAACCACCTTAATGAGCACCTGCAAAAATGAAGCTATAGAGCCGCATACAATAGCCATTATCACGAGATTTTGTGGTGGATTGCTCCATAGACCTTTGCGACAATATTCTCTCATACAAATTAATTATATAGAGTTGCTGTTCGGCCGCTGCGCGTGGTGTGGGTGCGAGGTGCTGCAGGAGGCTCAGCAGCATCAACCCCACGCGCAGCACCCACAGTGCGACGCTTCTTTGATATTTTTGCTGCAGGAGCTGCTG